TGTCAGCATTGTCATAACTGACTTTTAATGTAGCATACATTGGTTGATTTGTCTTGATAACAAGGTTCCAAAATAAAGAGAATAAACCACATAAAGTATTAACTCTATTTATAAATACATTTGTGTATACGGACATGTCCCGGGAATGTATGTCAATGAGACAACTATCCAGCTGAGACCAATGAACGAGGTTGTTACCAACTATATAGGCCACAGTACGGCATTCAACAATGAGCAAAAACGATGCCGTATAGTAAGCTATATATAAAAGGTCCCGACATGACAAAATTTAAAACAATTAAAAAGAGAAAAACAAAAACCAATTTGACAGACAGCAACCAACGACAACCACCGAATAACAGACTCTTGAATCTCACATTAAGAATATGGCTGGGTTTAATATGTTTGTAAGCGCTCACCCCTTTCTTTCGGTTATTTGCAATGCTTTCAACATGCAGTCTTTTACATGGATAACTTAAGGTAACCTAACAGTCTAATGCAAATTATGGGTGGTCATATTTAGTAAGCTAATACTTTGTCATTTTTTTCATTTTTAGGGATACTAAAACAAACGGAATCCCATATTAAAGGAGAGACAGCTATGAAGCATTTCCAACTGAGTTGGTAGGACCTCCATTATCTGGATGTTTCTAGACAATCGTATTTGTAAAATAAATCCTTCAAATATGGCACTTTTTTAATATTTCCTTATTTGTAATACGACTAGCAGTGTGTTTAAGTAATAATAATAATAATGATAATAATAATAATAATAATAATAATAATAATAATAATAATAATAATAATAATAATAATAATATCTTTATCTAAACAGAGTAACACATTTGGATTAATCCAATTTTCAATAAGGCTCTATACATATGGTTCTTTATTTTGCGCTTTTACATGCCATCACTAGGTAAATTTGTTGTTGTCAGGAATCACATCAGTGCATGATTGTCGTTGTCAGTTGTTAAATTTTTTTATTTTTTTTTTATGTGGTTGTTACATTATTATTAATATTCTTTTAACTCGATTTTCCTTGCCAGAGACATACAAAATGCATCTTTTTGAAAACCATTGATTACCATAGAATATTCACACTGGTCGAACGGTTAGAGGTTTATCAAAATTCTTTACTTTTCCCCAAAATCTGGTATTCATATTGTACACTTTTCAGTGTTAATACTCTTATCAAGTATAAATTTATGAAAACATATGAATTTATAATATTTTCCTTTATCGTAACAAAAATATAGAAAAGTAGTTTTGTAGGGAAAGTTGTGCATGCTTTATACCCAATGTCCCCATATCAAGGTAAAAAATCTAACAAATACATTCATAATTGCCCTGATATCTCATTGTGTAAAATACAGAAACAAAACATACTCTGCCAGTATGTTGATTACAACTTTAAATGTTTGTTAATTGAAAAAAAAATACTGTACAGTGTAGTGTGTTGTATAAGAGTAATCGGGTACGGAGAGAAGTTTTACCATGCACTATAGGTCACATACGGATCCTTCAAAATGTTGTTAAAATTGTAAGGTGGGGTGAGCGTCACTCTCAAAAAAGAGGTCTGTTACTAAGAAATCTCAGCAGAAATGTTATTTATATCAGGTTTATAGCATTGAAGAGAATGGAAGAAATAAGAGCTGTAATAGTAAATCTCACTTCTGTTTTATCTGTTTTGAGAGTAATTCATTATTTTCGACTTATCTCTGATGGTATACGTGTTTTCTTCGTTCGACCTTATCTCTACACGGGGTATTCATGCCCAAGTAAAGCGCACGGTATTTTAGATTAAATTTTTTTCATCTCTATATATTCACCATTAAATATGAATCAAACGACTCCATTTTACGACACTCCGTTGCGTAACATGGAAGATTCAATCTTCATTGTCACGCACATCGAAGATGATTCTTTTCTTTAATCGATCCTTTAACTAATTTTGCTGAAACTGCAAGGGATTAGACAATTTATTACTTTGAGAGAAATAAAACTATAAAATATAGCATAAAACAGACATAATTGGTTCAGGGGTGTGGATTTGAACGGCGTCCGATTCGAGTACAGACCTGATAAGCAGCATCATTGTGCTATTTACTTATACTGATGGCTTATATAGTTAACTAGGAAAATTATCAACTCTGAAAAATATGACCAACATTCCATTCTCTATTCGAGCGTCTGCATCCTCATTAGGGTCACAATTTCTTCTACGTAACTTATCACATTGAAAAACATGTCTACCTGTAAAGATTTTAGTACTATGTCTATTATTTCAACTTTTCTTATGTTTATGTCTGTTAGTTTTTAAAGAATCTGACTAAAATACAGATCCCATGTCTGCATGCGTCCTGCTAACAAAAAAGGATCTGAAAACGCTCCGTTCTATAAACCAAAGCGTGGACACATGCATGATGTATATTTTAATCAGATTGGGTTTTTAAAATTTGTCTACCGAAACGAGCCATAACTGATTTTTGTGTTTGATCACAATCATTAAATTTATCCGAACGTTTTTACATTAAATTAATCCTGTTTCAAGAAAGTTTCAGTAGTAAAAACAATATAGAAGCGCTCTTATATGTTGCCAACAAAAATAAAGAACTCAGTTTACAAAGTCAGCAAAACGTATGGTATATACGAACAAAACTACGTCATATCTGGAAAAGATAGTTCACTTGAGGTTACAATAACTCTTTTTTTTTACTTGCGTAAATCTTGATTGTCGGTTATAAACTATAATACTTAAAGCTTTAAATATAAGATGGAACTATGATAGATTGCCGTGGTGTAATCATCAGTGAGCATAATATATAAAGAGCTGTATGAGACATTTATTTGGCATTTTAGAACTTTTTCGTCAAATTATTTGTTCTGGCGACCCAATAAGCGGCTAAACGATGTGTCCGAGACATTTGTTAACCTCTTACCATCATTCAAGTTCTAACCAAAACCAATATAAAACATTCAATACTGAATTACTAACACTTTGTCTTGATAATATTGCTAAATTAGGAGAAGAAAATTTACGTCAAAGCAAGAATGTCGAGGGTGAACATGTCAAACTAGATACCAATACATTGTTCAGCAAATTTCTTTCAGCAAAATTCTAATCCACCCAACTAATGATTCGGCAAGCCGAAAATAAAAATGTGTGCCGTATTACGATCACTTTTCTTATTAAGTTCATTTATTTAAGAATTGAATGCTTCTTTTTGTAAATTTATTGGGGTGTAAAAGCGTTGACCGAAGTACATTTTGTATGAAGCGCGGAAGTGCTTCATTCTGAAAATGTGCGCACGGTCAACGCTTTTACAGCCCTATAAAATTACTAAAAGAAGCATTCAATACTTATAATTACATTTTTTTGCTAGGATCTTGAAAATTCGATTTCTATCAAGTTTTTTCTTTTTTTTTACCTGTGCACTTTATTGTGGAAGCTCATGTCATCATGAATGTTACATTTCATTTTGAAATGAAGGTTAATTTCAGAATGACGCGAGATTGCTATTAGCCAACCAAAAGAACGTATTATAATGAAACATACATGTAATGTAATTATTTGCGCATATATAATTGTAATGATAAAATTTACCGGTATTGGCATGACAGAATACCGCGACTTATCCGCGTTTACGACAAAACCGAGTTCGACACAACGAGGTTCGACTGTAATAAAGAGTTTGGACAAAATGAATGTATCTTTCTGGACCATTGTGATTTTTCATTAATTATCAGTGTCTTGGTATATTGAATACACAATTTTGAATAGCTCATCAGTTCGGTTTCATGAGGTTTATCACCGTCCTTACTATGCAAAGATTTTTTTTTTTTTTGGTAGAGTATTGACCAAGAAAGTTACTTGTACAATTGATTTTCGTCAACAATAGAGAAAGGTGAAGAGAGGTTATTTTCCTAACAAGAATTCAGATTAAAGGCAAGGGCAGTTCAAGTCTAATCGACCAGGAAAATATGTCCGAAATTAATTCTTCCTATATGTCTTTAAATGAACATTTAGTTCTAATCGACCAGGAAAATATGTCCGAAATTAATTCTTTCTATATGTCTTTGAAAGAAAAAAGCAGTTGATATCCATTAAAGATGAGGACTTTCTTTTTAAAAGTAAGCTAAAAAAACATCTCTAGAAAAATGAGAGATACAACTCAGGTGCATGACATATGGGAAAAAAACTTGGTTTTGGAGAGAAATTACAACGAAGTTATACATATAGTTTACTTACGTTCAAATGTAAGAAACATAAATGTTCAGGACTTTAAAGGTGCTTAAAAATAATCCAAAACATCTTGACTTAAACGGTGCTTAACCAACAATAACTATAAAATGTGTTAGGGTAGGCATGTAATTTTGGGGTAGGTAGGGACTCGGATACAAGAAAAATAACTATATGTATGTTTATTGGCCTTATTGTGAAAAAAGGAAAAAGTATTGAAACGGAAGTTGTCATATCGCTTATGATTGTATGGTCCGTTTCTACAGTTACTATGTTTTTCATGAACAATCATCCTGAAACTTCAAAACAAAAGCAAAGACAAATTTCTTTCATTATCTAACACCTGGATTTTGAAATGAAGTATTCTAATGATTTCCTGAGAGTAACAGAATCACAAGAGGAGTCTCTATAAATCAAATCAATCAAACTTTGGTGTTAATCAATGTGGGGGTCTGTCTCTTCTTCACATTCGTAATTAAAACATATTTTCAAATTGAAATCAAAAGTATGTTTTCTTGTGTTATCTCTAAAACGTATTTCAGAGAGGAATATAAGAAGTCTTTTATCCCCATATTTCGGGTTATCTAGATTGTGTTTTGTATCATGCATACTGTGTATAAGTCAAGTAATATGCAATTTATTAAACACGCTAACATCAAATATAAATAAGCAATACGATCTCTGTCATGATAAAAAAAAATGTGTATGTTCGATTCCCTTGATTAAACGTTCGTTTGTGTATAGTATATCTACTTACTTTGATCGTCGAATTTTCTAATGATAGTATCAATAAAGATATTAGGAGGGGCGACATGTCCGCGTCGAACTGGCATTTTAAAAATCCTTTATTTCAACCCATTTTATAAAAATCCATTAAAAGAATATGCTTTAATCATCGCTTCTTTAACCACAGTAAATTCCATAAGCAGTTCTTCTACAGTCTAACATGCCAAACAAAACGTTACATGTCGAGAAATTAATTTGCATCAATGTTCGTTTATTCACTCCTTTCAATGTATCGACCCGATCTATAGATCATCAATGTTAACCACATAACACAGAATGTAAATAGTCAACATCCGCCAATAGACAGCATCTGCAGCCGGAATTACTCCGCAAGCTTCTATATCGAACATGTGGTTTAATGTTTACCTTTCTAGGCACAAGTGCGAAAATCGAAGATACATTATTTTATTTATTGACAAAAGTCATTAAATTATATTGTCTTTGTTATGTAGGAGAGACTAAAATTTCCAATAAATATTATTTATTCTAAAAATTATTTTCGCCTCTAATAGTAATATATTGGTTTTCCCTTTGTTTATTTACTAATAATCGGTGACAGAAACTTGTGATTATTTTCTTCAATCTAAATGTGTTCTCAATTATTCGAGAAAGAGTACCTAACTTAGATTAATTCAACCAACAATGAATCCCTGATATCTTATTTGCTGTTTTATGTAAGTTGTCGTCATACTTCTGCTAAACAAACGTTAACTAAGGCATAGCAGTAACAATGAATAAAAGAAGATTTTGGGAAACAGAGTAACGTTAATATAACATCAGTACCCTTTAGAGGTTCGATGATAGACAAGTGTCAACACACATTTGTCAAAATCGAAATCAATATGAGTCGAGACAAGTGGTCCATGAATTCCACCAGCATCTCATTGAAGAAAAAACAAAGAAAAAGAAAGAAAAATAAACATAAAACCCAAAATAAAATAAACAAAAAACCCAAAACAAAATAAACAAAACAAAGCAACACTAAACTATGCGATGATCCATGACGAGGTTCTTGATTTTCTACAGTAAAAGAGAGGCGAAAGATACCAAAGGGACATTCAAATTGACCAATGTGGTAGTCTTAACTATTTTTAGAACTGAAACCTTCCCATATTAACGCATTAAGCAATGGAGCCTTAACACGATAAAACAAGCCCATGAAAAGTATTTTCCCAAAAAAAAATCGACAGTAGAGAGGTTAATGCACGACTGCAACTAAGAGCAATCTCAAAGTATAACGGATCTGATTATATAGAAATTATACTTTCATACACTCTGATATTGGCGTCGATACCACAAAAAGCATAATATAATCTAAATCCCCTTTTTTAATGTTGACCAGCTTATTAACAAAAGGTACAAACAATAAAAAAAAGAGTAAGTACAGAAGAAAGGTTTATCTAAGACATCCAATGAATTTTTAACATCCTAAAATGAAAAACATTCTGTAGTTTATACCACTATTAAGATAGTCGCTTGCTTTTATAAACCATGCAGATAAAAGATAATAAGAAAAACAAAACAGGATTAAGAAAAAGCAATTATAAATAATACTGTATCAAGGAATGCTCGCATTGGATGGAAATAAGCTCGAAGTACTTAACGAGCTAACATGAAACCATGTCGTCCCATAGGCGGATCCAGGGGCTGGGGGCCAGGCCCTCCCCCCTTTTGTGGGAAAAATTTGGTTGATTACATAGGGAATCACTGATTCATGACTGGAGCGCCCCCCGCTTTTAGGTCAGTCAGCGGGCCCCCCTTATAAAAAGTTCCGGATCAGCCACTGCAAACGGTCCAACACTGTGCATCAGTGGTTCTGCTTCGGCGCAAAACTAAAGCAACACTATAAGTGAAAATATAACATCCATCGACGTTGGATTATGAATAGCATTTTGAGTTTGTAAAAGAATGTAAAATCGTTACAAAATATTGTTAAAAGTATATTTTTATAGACTCTTTAACATTCAATTTCCAGTAGGATTGGACAACTTTAAGATTACGAAAAACTACAGAGTAAACTGGTCCTTCCCCTTTAAACACCAACAATTGAAATTATGTTAGATTAGAAAGCTACGCAAGAATTAAAAAACTTTACAAGTCGTCAGTTACTAACAATGTTCCGTATAAGTCATCTATGTAGGCATATAAGGCCTATACAAAGATCTAGTTAGAGATCTTCGAACTCCTTTATTATTCAAAGTTGTATTTGCTTTGCTTGGAATATCAACGTTTAATTTTGAAAAATCCAGATTAAAATGTCATACTCTGGTTGCGCAATTTTATCCTCTCATCTATGTTTTGATTTCCAAGACCTCCCATGAAGCTTATGTGTTTTATTGTGGAATAATCGGAATCCGATTTTCAAAACATTTACTTCTGTCGTCAAAAGACCAATCTGGGACGCTTGACTCCGAACACCAACGAACAAGATAAAAAATGCCAAAAATAAAAGCTCTGCTTTCTTAAACCATCATCTGCTATATGAGCATATTCGTCGATTGTCTCCTCTGAACAAATTTGTGTAAATATTTTAGCATTTGCTTGGCATATCTATTTTTTCTTGTGTAATGATATGAGGAATAATGTGATGATGCTGTGATATTAACCAGTCTTGCTGTTGGTTTCTCGATTGAATTGTGTCACATTCATGTCGTAACATTTTACAGTTATTGTTACAGGCCAAACGGTTACCTATAGTTGCTTACATGTACGTCAATTTGTATCTGGTTGATAGTCGTATCATTGGCAATCATATCACATCTCATAATGTTGACAGCAGAGCTCAATTCTGAAATGAAAGTAGTAACATTGCTACATGTGATTTGAGTTTTAAAGACTTTTGGCATTTTTCAAGTAAAAATGATATGATTGAATCTGTTATCCTTGTCGGTGTTTTATACTTGTATTTTCAATAGTTCTATAGACTTAAAATATTTAAATAAATGCATCTTGCTTGTTATATTTTGTTCATCTATCCACTAATTTTATTTCATATGTACAAGTTATTACTTACATCTTCAAGCAAATAAACATGACGTGTATAAGTATAACCCTTGACTGTAAGAGGAGACTCTTAGGAGAATATTTACCCTTTCAAAATTTGATATCTCCACTTTTGGACAGGTCACCTGCAATAGAAGTCAAAATCTCTCGCTTTGACAAATATCCCCCTATTTTCCCTCTCTTTCATTATAAGGGTTGTTTTATAGTATTTTCTGTTGATGACTGCAATGGTTAAAAGACATCATGTTTTAACTAAAGAATTTTATGTATGCCCTGAACAATTCCAAAAACTTACAATATATAAAAAAAAAACAAATATAAAAAGAGGGAATATAAGAGTAACAGATCAAAACGTAATTATTGTTACAAGGAAACAAAATCAATGGGAAAACTAATGAATATATATAAGTACGTCTAAACAAGTGACAACTCCATCCATTGGATCACCAGTGAAGGTGATACACGGCTAAAAACACATATTATATTCACAATTACTCTAAATATCAGCACAACAATGTTAAATCTGGGATTCGAACTCATGCTATTGGGATATCGAGATAACACCGCCTGCACTGTGTCCAGCACTCTAGACCACTCGGCCACCTAGACTGAACAAAAATACCGGTATCTAGCTATCGGTGTATATATCTTCAATATGTATTTGACGCAAGTTCATTAGTTTAAATAAAATATCCTGGAAAAAAGTGTTGATTAAATCTCAAATCTTTGTTTAATTTATGTTGATTATTGTCATTTTGCTTAGTTTCTTCTATTACCTATTCTAACATGGGACTCGGACTTCTCTTAAACTGAATTTTACTGTGCGTACTGCTGTGTGTTTGTTTATTCCATTTTGGCTAGAGGTATAGGGGGGGGGGGGGGGGTGAGATCTCACAAAACATGTGTAACCCCGCCGCATTTTTGCAACTGCCCCAAGTCAGGAACCTCTGGCCTTTGTGAGTTTTGTATGTTTTTTTAATTTTGGTTCATTTATATGTTTCGGAATTTAGTATGACGTCTTTTTTCACTGTTCGTATACTTTATTGTTTAAGGGCCAGCTGAAGCCCGCCTCCGGGTGCGTGATTTTCTCGCTGTTTTGAAGACCCATTGGTGGCCTTGGGCTGTTTCCTGCTCTTTGGTCGGGTTGTTGTCTCTTTGACGTATTCCCCTTTTCCATTTTCAATTTTAATTATCAAAATGGATAATGATTTTAGTCTTACATACATGATTTTTTTTTTATTAGTTGTTATTGGCTTTGAACTAGCTCTGGTTTTATGCATATATATATATTCATCGTTCAAATGATATATCCTCCTTTTCATTATGCATTAACCAAATAAACTGATCCTTAACAATCACTGACCAAATTTTCCTCAATATTTTAAACATATAATTATAAAAAGGGTGATTTTGAAAGTTGGTGCATTCTCCAATTCAATGATTTATTACTGCTAGTTATATTGAATGTTAACTATGCGGTGACGTCAGTGGGTAAAGAGCGTCACACAACCCATCATTGCAATTTATATTACTTTCGTTTTTATGAAGACTCTCCATTTAAGTGACATTTTAAATTTCTAAGCGAACAACATCACGTGGCGTTTGCAAGCAATTTGCCATTGTTTTCTATCGAGAATTCGAAATTCCCCGTAGAGAGCATTTCAAAATGTAATATTGAGATCGCTTCTTGAATAATACAATTCGTTAAACAAGTGGGACTGATATTCAAATACAAACGAAGATATTGATTAAAATAACTCCCTAAACACAGAAAAAGCTATACTTTGATTATTTGAACGAGACTACCAGCACTTGTTTAAATTAGAAATTCTGAGTTTGATTGAGATTGTATTTTTCCCGTGTCATTTTTATTATGTCAATCTAGATTTTCAAAGTACCACACTGAGAATTCAGAGCAAACCTTTTTTGTCGTTATAATATTTTTATTTCAATAAACCTTCTTAAAGTATTGTAAAAATAGCTTGACATTTTTTCTTCTGACATACAAAATTGATTAACAAATCATAGAGGTATCCGCAGGTGACCTACAACGAGGTAAAATGTCTACCACTGACAAACATGCATGCCCTCTTTTCCAGTTACAGTCCAAATCTCCCACTTGGCAGAACCTACTTTAGAAATTGTTCTCGTGCTTAATGTACATAATATATTTCACTGGATGTTAGGCAAACATTCAATCAATCTATTCCATTGTAAGATTGATTCGTTCTCTTAATTGTTTTTTCTT